TATATATATACACTGTATATACAGTATACATGTATCTATATATACATAAATATTTCATATGGACCTTGTAGTACCTTTAAAGCATGAAGGTCCAGCTGCTCAAAGTTTTTCAGATCCACTTGCAGAGATTTAAGATTTTTTTTATCCCAGGGGTAACCTATTTAAAAGAAAGAACACGTAACACATAAGTATCTCATGACCATGACATAAGCCTCTACATATATTAATGACTTGTTTATATGCTTAAATATATTTTTAAAAATTCTTACTGTGTGTTGTGGAAACTTTCTCTTGCTTCTGCTGCTGTTGAGAGGCAGTCCTATTCCTCTGACTGGGTGCTGTGCAAGTAAAGCATGTTATATGTGTTGTATTAAAATTGTATTTTAATGTAATATTATGACATTTATTATTTTTATATATTAATGTACCCATGAAAAGAAAGTGAACTATTTCTGCCACTAATATCTGACTGCAATCTAAAGTAAATACCTAGTTAATAATAAAAATATCTAGGGGGTTATTCACTATTGAGCCGAAGGATACAGCCTTAGCTTCGGCTGATCCTTCGGCTCTCTTCGGCCGCCTCTGCCCTTCGATTCAGTCGAACCGAAGGGCTGCTATACAGGCTATTCACAATAGCCCATACAGCAGCCGAAGGCGGGCGAGCGGCTCAGCTGAGTGGAAGCATATGCCTGAGTATGACTGAGCTGAAGTGACAGCCGTATTAGGACAAACCGCCTCCTGAAGGCCAGCCGTTCGCCCTGCAAATGACAGCTGGGTGGAGCCTGCCGTGATATCGAGGCTGGCTCGCCCAATTTGTAATGACAGATCAGCGCCCCCAAATGACCTGGGAACGCTGATCTGTCATTAAACAAAAACAACTGGGCAGAGCCGGCTGTGACATCATGGCCAGCTCCGCCAGTTGTTACTCATTGGCCGGGACCTGCTAGAAGACTCTAACAGGTGCCAGCTAATTGGTCTGTCACTGCTAGCTCTGCCCAATTGTTATTTTTTTTTCATTTCTTTAAAATCTTTTTTCTTTTTTTAAGTTTACTATTTGTTTACATTTTAAAAATAATTTTCCTACTTGTTTGTTTTTTCCACCTTTCCTTTCACCTATTTTCTATGTTGCTCGGTACCACAGAGGTACCGAGCAGAATGCTGCTCGGCGGCATTCGGCTTTCACTCACTGCCGTTTGGCCCCTATGAGAATAGGGGCGAATGGCAGCGGGTGAGCTACCGGAGCTTCAGCTCAGCTGATCCAGATGTTGGATCGGCTGAGTCGAAGTCCTTCTGCACGTCGGCTCAGCCGAACATGCAGAGCATATTCAGCTGACCGAAGGCAGCCGTACAGAGCCGATGTTCGGCTGATTTCAGCCGATGTACAGCTGAAATCTGTACAAGCCAGAAGTGAATAGCCGAACAGCAGTGGAGCGGTGACAACTTTACAACAAACACAGGGACCATGCGGAACAAAAGTAGCCACCCTCCAGAAGGAAGGACAGTGTCAGCACCAATTTCAGAGATGGTTTGATGATCTACAGCGGAGTGATACACAAATAAGACACATTTTTGTTATTAGTTAAGGTACTTTATTGTATTTTTAAGGTTTAAATCTTGAGTTTAGTGTCACTTTAAGTTTTGGTTCAAAGAGGGCTGTTTCCATTGGGTGCATCTATGCTGATTTTTACTACATAGAATTCCTCAGATGTCACCAGCCACAGACTACAAAATTTGGTCCCCAGTTGCTGGCTATTCATGGATGGAAGGGGGTCCACAACTGCATTGTTTTATCCCTGCATGCAGCACATAAATGGAGCATATAGAATTATATCTATTTTAGCTACCTAAAATATTTGAGTATGTTAATCAGCATAAATCACTTTCTGAAGGTTAATTCTGTACAATTTGTTTATTATGTGTGTATCAAATTTTAAAAATCTTCCACTCCATACCTTTACTATTTAATTGCGATCTGGTACTCTTCTTGGTTGAACGTTGCAAAGTGTTGGCTAGTTTATCTACTGGAGTATAATTCAAAAGTACATAAAAGGGTTTTTAAAATTGTTATAGATTATCAGTTGAAATTAAGATGCAGGAATATATAAATTAAAACATGTGTTTAAAAATTAAGGCAAGACTTTATTTGCATTTAATGTAACCCTATGCACAAGTTAATTGATGGTAACCTCTTATATTTGTCAGCCTCCCCAACCATGCACCATGTCCATGTCTACTCGGTAGGGATCTGGTATCGTTTTTAAGTGGGACTCCACCCTAAAAATACATAAAATGGCGAGGTTCCCCCCAAAACCCATACTAGACCCCTATCCAGGCACGCAGCTTTTCTGGCCATGAAAAAAGAGGTGCAGAGAAACAAAGGCCTCTTCCCCACATCCCTGGCCCAGTGTATGTGGGGGTCTGCAGGAGTGACTTATCAGAAATAATAAGCCCCTTTAAGATAAGGGGGCCCCAGCCAGCTGTTGAATGTCAAATCACCTGGATATGCTGGGTGACGTCACTGGCCAAATATGATCATAACCATAATTGGTCAATTATGACACCCGGGATAAGTGCTGGGTTGTTCACATTGTGAAACGGATGGGACGCTGTTATTTATGAATGACTTCTAGGTGAAGCAGCTGCAGATTTTGGATGGGTAGGTGAACTGGACAATTCTAGCAATTTAGTTTGTCCTGTACTGTATTTGCACAGTAACCAATCTGCACAGGCAAGTGGAGATTGTTCTGTACAAGCCATTGTGCAACAGTGTGTAGTGCTCACCCCACAAAGGAGCCGCTGGATATGATGTGTAGTTCTGTTTCACCTCTGATGAACCACTTTCAAAGGATCCACATCACACCAGCACACCTTGTGGGTTTTCATATGCTTTACTAAACTAAATAATATATTGTCTTTGACAAATACTGTAAATGGATATAAAGAACAACAGCAAATAGAAACATGCATGTAACATTAGCCTGCCACAAGAGTTTGAAACCTAATATGAACTATTTAGGCAGTGTCCATATTATAATAGCTCTAATGTGTATCTAAAACCAAGGAGAAAAATGGAATACAGTATATTGCAGCTTGCCAGTCATTACAGGAGGTGGGTTACATTAGTCTTCATTTTTCAGATTTGGTACATTTTCTGCAAGTACAGAAAATATTCCTGTTGATCCTGATAGAAATCTAGAGTCCTTGTAGCTTCCTGTGCATACATTGAAATCTCATACAATGTTGTCAACTTTCCCAGCTACCTTCTGTGTACTACCAAACAGTTCCCGCTATGCAATGGTGATGCAGCAAGGTAGAAGTGTTTGTAGACCAATTCAGGAAAGTAGGCTAGGGTCACAATGTTGCTCCTTTATAGATACAGTGCAGTAAGCGAGTGTTGTCACTCTAAGACAGAAAGTGTGTTACTGTCAACAATGCCCAAACACACATTTACTCTCTTTTAAAGTTTCAGGATCCCAGCAAGATCCTCCAGCTATAGCTCTGTTTCCTTCCATTTTAGAGTTTTGACTGTTCCCCTGTTGACCCTAGAGACCCTAGAGATTTCTCACACCTGTTGTTGCATTATCCACCATTAAAATACATAAAACATCCAACAGGGAGTTTATGATACCATCAAAATGGTCACAGGTGTGCAGAAATGGAAATTCAACTTTATCGATCTCACCACTGGAATCCCCAAGACAGATGCAAAATGATTTTCCCCACACCCAAAATGCTAAATGAATTACAGTAAGCAAGTGACTTACCTAATTCAGTTTTTTTTCTTTTCTTCTGTGTCTCCCGATTGGCAACATCTATCTCATCCTCTACTTTAATTATAATAAAAATAATTGTATTATATTTGGTACACGTAGCTACAAACTACTATATATAAACTTACTGTATATATATAAGCTTAGCTTTCAATGTGATTTTATGTATTTTTGTGAACAAAGCAGTAGCAAGGTATTGAACTTTGTTTGTCATCAGCTTGGAATTTAAATGATACCCTGAGGAAGAAACATTCATGTCTCAAAAAGCTTTAAATAAAAAAGATATCACGTAAAAAGTGTTACCACATCTCTACATTAAATCCCAGCCCCCCGGGGACCAAATACTTTTAGCCCTTGGTCCTGTTCAAATTCATCCTGTGTAGCTCACCAGCTTCCCATTATTCTCCCCCTCCCCCCACCGCCGTCTGAACTTGCTGTTCATTAGAAGGTAAATACTTAATGAGGGCTGTTTGATAGAGCTTGTCTTTGGTAACAAGTGCATGCTGGAGATGAGCACTGTGATTCAGCACAGCAGGGAGCAAAGGTCAACCCCATTCATGACACAACTCAGTAGCTATTGATCAGTGTATATGTCAGTGCCTTGTATGTTTACTAGCAGCCAGCAGATAGATCACACAGCCCTGTAGCGCTGACGGATCGTTTACTATTGTGAATGAATAGTCAGCACTGCGTTGTGTATGATAGAGCTGCCGGTTTCGTGTATGTTTACTAGCAGCTGGCAGATCTGTCACACAACTCTAAAACGATGAGCATTCACAATAGTACACAAACAGTCAGCTCTGTTGGGCTGTGTGATCTAGTAATGTGCTGTAGCTTCCCCCATAGGAACACTTATAAATTTGGCTTCAGAATGGGTTGGATTAGGTCACTGGATTGGCTGGGCTCCGATGATGTAATTATCACGCATTCGCACAGGAGTTACTTCATCTCGTCATGAGTATGAGCGACTCAGTGTACAGAAAAAAAAAAGTCCGACAGGTATGGCAGCTTTTATGGCAGAAGAGACTTACACCTGTCAATCAGCATTTTTTGGATTCTTTACTTCCACTTGAATGCACAAGGGGCCACGGATCAAAACAGAACTATGTGCTACATACATTTGGTCATGTGGAGGGATTCAAAAGGGACTTTTAGGTTGTGCTGATACTTCTTTAACATCAAAACTTTCTGTACTCAGCTTCAAATTGTAGTGCTTAGTCATAATAAATGTTATTTACTATTATATTACTTTCATTAACCTTTGAGACTTCACAGCAGTGAAATGTTTGGAATGCGGTGCTGCTGAAACTTAAGCCAGTGGCGTCGACAATCATTAACCAAGACTTCACCTGTTTGTTTATAGC